ACGATTATTGAATTAGAATTTGTTGCTTAGAAATCCAGTTATCGAAAGTTTCTATGTAGAGGATGTCAGAATAATAAAAAATAATAAAATAATACATAAATAAAACAAAAATAATAAAATAATTAAAAGAGAGAAGTTATATATTCCTTTATAGGTAGAAATACCTAGAAGGGAGTGAAAAGAAAGAAAAACAAACCATAGGACTAAAATAAAGAATACTGACAATACGAAAACTGTCTCTGAAAAAGTTTGTCTCTTATAAAGTTAAACATACATTTACAGTATGACTCCCCCTAGGTGTTTATCCTAGAGAAACAAAAACGTATGGCCATGTAAAGACCGTATACAAACGTTCACAGCAGCTTTATCTGTAATAGCCCATACTGGAGACAACCCATTCCGAACTGTGGAATACTAGTTGGTAATAAAAATACATGGTCATGGGATGCCTGAGTGGCTCAGTCGGTTAAGCATCTGCCTTCGGCTCAAGTAGTGATTCCAGGGTCCTAAGATCAAGTCCCTAATCAGGCTCCTTGCGCGGCGGGGAGCCTGCTTCTTCCTCTACCTCTGCCTGAAGCTTTCCTGTTTGTGTTCTCTCTCTCTCTCTCTGACAAACAAATAAATACATAAAATCTTTTAAAAAACGAAACATGGTCATAAAAAGGAACGAAACTTTGATACACGCAGCAATGTAGATGCTGATGAAACGCAGAGTGAAAAAGCCAGCCTCCAAGGTCCCATCCAGTATGATTCTAATTGTGTAATGTTTTACGGTGATGACACAGGAATGGTTGCTGGAGGCGGGTGGGGCGGAGGGTGTGCCTCTGAAGGACTGGTAAGGGAGCTCCTCTGGGTGATGGAATTGTCTGTATCCTGCTTGGGGTTGTAAATACACCAGTCCAAGCGTGTGATAACATTTATAGAACCAGACACCAAACAAATAAATAAATGAGTGCTTGTCAAAACTGATGAATCTGGATGAGGTGCACAGTTTTGTTATACCAATGTCAATTTCCTGGTTCTAAGTGTTTTCTGGTTATGTAAGATGTTAGCATTGGGGGAAACTGGGCGAAGAGGACACAAAACCTTTCCATACTTTTCCTTTTTTTTTTTTTTTTAAGAGGCATGGGAGTGGGGGAGGAGCAGAGAGAGAGGAAGAGAGAATTGTAAGCAGGCATCCCGTTCAGTGCAGAGCCCTGTGTGGGGCTCGATCTCGTGACCCTGAGATTACCACCCGAGCCGAAATCAAGAGTTGGATGCTTAACCGACTGAGTCACCCAAGCGCCCCTCCATACTTTTTAGGCAACACCTATGTGAGTCAAAAATTCTTTCAAAATGAAAAACGAAAATGTTCTCTCCAGTGTGGAGCATGGAACCCAAGGCTGGCACTGAAGGGATTGGGCCTGAAGTCACCCAGAGGCTTCTTTGTACCCACCTGCTGAGGGTGGGAGGCTGAAAACACAGTTGGTCTGGGGGATTCATTCATTCATTCAATCATTAGTTCGTTCGTTCTGAACACCTTCTCTGTGTCAGGCTCTGTCCTGAAACAGCACTAGGCCAGACAGCCAGGCTCCGTGGTTTAGGCTTCAGCGTGGGGCCTAGGCCAGACCGCCAGGTTGAAATGTGGCCCTCCCCTCACTAGCTGCGTGGCCGGCAGTGAGTTACGTAACCTCCCAGGGACCATCCAAACTCTGGGGTTTAGTTGTTGTCCTTCTGATTTGTAAAACGAAGCCACTAACCATATCCATGTCGTGGGTGGTCGTGACGAACATGGGAACTGATTCAGTTATAGGCTCTTTAGTGACATGTTTAGGGGACTTGCTATGGAGACCATGGGGGTCACAGCTTCCTTTCCGGGAAGCCAACATCAAATACACAAGGGGAAGCACAGACATGGCATCCCCCCCCCACACACACACACAAACAGGGCGGCCTGATGGGACCCGGTAGTCGGGGAGAGGCTCAGCAGCCTCAGGGAGCGTAGGAGGTGGCCCTAAGGAGAGGACTCAGACCAGAGAGACAAAGAAAGGAGAGATTCAGAAATACTCACGGAGACTCAGAAACCCAGAGATTCTAAGGCATGCAGAAACTGAGAGATGTCCAGAGATCCAGAGTGACCAGGGATCCAGAGATGCATATAGAGACCCAGACACTGAGAGAGACCCAGAGATCCAGAGACACCTGGAGAGATCCAGAGACACCAAGAAACCCCAAGACACGGAGACACCAAGAGACCCCAAAATACCCAGATACCCAGAAACGCAGAGAGATTGAGAGACACAGAGATCAAGAGATTAATGGATTCAGAAACCGACAGAGACGAAGGGACGCAGAACAGGAGGGAGAGTCCCTAAGAATGAAAAGTCACACTGGCAGCCAGGGTCAAAGCCTGAGACTGGGAGCAAAGCCGAGACGGCTGCTGAGTGTCCAACAGTGAACAGTGGCACTGTGGCAACTGAGGTCCACAGACCTGGCCTCCACACCGGGCCCGCCACATTCCTTCCCTTCTTCCCTCAAACGTCAGCAGGTTGAGGCCCCAATGAGCCTCAGTTTCGCATCTGAAAAATGTCAGTGAGAACCACAAAACCGACCTCGCAGCGGGAGACGTGTTGGTCATGTGACTTGAGCCCACTTATGTTGTCACCACTGGTGGGATTTGGAGCATAAATGATTCAACTTCTTTCTGGCCTCCATTTTTATTGAATACATATTTTATTTTAGCCACCCAGGTGATCGTAAATACGTATTTTAAAAGTCATCCGTTAGCCCCTCTCACTCATTAGGGTGGCTACCATCAACAAAACAGAAAATAGCAATGTTGGCCATAATGCGAAGTTAGAACCCTCCGCCTCCGTTTGCGCGACTGCAAAATGGTGCCGTGGCTGTGGAAAACAGTTTGATGCTTCCTCAAAGAATTAAATATAGAATTACCACCTGACCCTTCTCAGTGTACACCTCAAAAAATGAACAGCCAGGTCTCGAGAAATTTGTACACTTATGCTCATGGCTGCCTTATTCACCAGAGCCAGGATGGGGGAAACAGCCTATGTGCCCAACGGTGAATGAACGGATAAGCAAACTGCGGTCTATCCGCGGAACGGAATATTACTCAGCCTTAAAGAGGAAGGAAATCCTGACATATGCCAGGGTGCGGATGAACCCTGAAGACATGCTAAGCGAAATAAGCTGGTCACAAAAAGACAACTCCTGTGTGATTCTCCTTGTAGGAGGCCCCTAGAGTAGCTGAATTCACAGACACAGAAAGCAGCATGGTGGTTACCCTGCACTGGGGGAGGGGAAGGGGGGGTGATTGTTTAATAGGTGTAGACACCCACTTTTGCAAGATGAAGCGTTCTGGAGATGGATGATGGTCATGTTTGCAAAAGAGTATGAATATACTTAAATCTACTCAAAAATGGCTAAGATACTAAATTGTATGTGATGTGTATTTGACCACAATAAAATAAATGGGGGAAAAAAGTGCCACCTGTCAAATGTGGAAAGTAATAAAGGTGCTGACTGTCCCATAGGATTGTAGAGAGAGTAAATGACCCAGTGAGGGCGGAAAGGCTTAAGGTGTGCTCCAGGTTGGGGGCGGGGTTGGGGTGGGGTGGAGTGGGGTGGGGTGGGAGGGGCTTGCTGGTCTTTGGCAAAGGCCTCTTGTCCTACCTTGGAGTCACTGCCTAGGGTCCCCCTGCCGCTCAAGGATCTTGGAAGGGGGATGTGGACTCTGGGAATTCTCATGCCAAGACACTCTCCTCTCTGGCTCCTAGGTTGTGAGGTTCCTGGATCTGAAACAAACACAGCCCCGGCCAACAACCCAGCCCCACCAAGGCACAATCAGTGAATGGTGCCCAGGCCTCATTTCCGGCCTGCCGGTTGGCTCCACCTTTATGGAGAGGTGGGGAGGGGGCCGTGTCGCCATTCCGGTCCTGGAGTCCCGCCGTCCTGCCTTTACCCCTCTTGCAGGTGATGAACCCTTGGAGAAGCTCTTACCTTGGGAGGCCGCAGCTGGGAGGCGAATGTGGAGACCAAGTTCACTCCACGCAGAGGTGGGTGGTGATGGCCCAAAGCCCCACCCCCTCCCCAGGAAGGGGTCTGATTGGTGGAGGGCTGCGGGGGCGGAGCAGCGCCAGGGGTTTATAAATGCCGGCAGGGGGGCTGGAGTCATGCTGTAGGTAATCCCCTAGCTCAGGTAAGGCTGTTTGGAGAAGGGTGGGCTGCTTGTGGGAGCCTAGGTGGAGGTCCCCAGGTTGGCCACAGGGTGGTGCGCGGCAACTTCTGAGCCCCGGAGTTGGAGTCTCTCCCCGTAGCATGAAAATTTTGAGGTGACCCCACCTCACATGACTCTAAATGCAGGTATTGGTCTAATTACATCCCCCCTCTGGGCCTCACTTTCCTCTCCGTGAAGAAGGGGGTTGGTGGTCCTTCCAAGTATGCTGCTTTGGTGTGGGGTGAGGGGGGGGGTTGGGGGGCCAGAGGAGCAATTAAACTCCTGGGCTTTGAGGGTCAGGCAGGCCCCATATTTAAGTGGCCATGAGACTTCCGCTCTTCACTTCCATGTTTGCGAGATGGGTATTGACCTAGACCCACCTACCGGGAGCAAGAGAGAGAATGCCCTTAAAGAATTTAGCACAGCTCCAGGCACTTAGGAAGCCCTCCATGGGCCCTATTGCTGCTCGGCTTCCTCCCTGGCCCGGCCTGGGGTGCCGGGATGGAGTGTGGGGGGGGTGCTGCTGCTGCTACGGGCTCCAGGGACTCTGCTGCTTTTCGGGCCTCCTCACCCCACACAGAGGCCAGTTTCTGTCTGCTCCCAGCACTGCCCCGCCCCCCACCCCGAGTCTCCACGCCAATCTCCCCACCTCCTGGAGGTCCTCTGTCAGGCCAGTCTCATCAAACCCCTGGATTTGTGGGGGGCAAGGAGGGTAGGTGCTAAATCCGGAGGCTGCTTTCTCTGCAGGCTGTCCTGCCCCGCCCCACCTGCTCCCACCCGCTGTGAGATGAGCGACACTCAAGACTTGGCCACTTTGCCCCCGGTTGCCACCCAGGTGAAGCTGGGGGGCTGGAGCCGTCCAGGTGGGGGGAGTGGGTCTGTCCATCAGCGCCCGCACCAGGAGCTCCAGGCCTTTCTCAACCTGCTGGGTGAGTTCACTTGGGGGCCAGCATGGAAGGGGCTGTGGGGCCTGGCACTGACATCAGGATGAGAGGTAGGATCTCACTCGCCCACACTCGCCTCTGAAATCTCTGTCCCTTCCCTTTGCAGGTGACCCCAGTGTGGCCAGGGGAAGGGAGGGGTCCTGGCAGAATGTGGGTTCAGCCGAGGCTTGGGCTTTGGAACCCTGAAGCCACTCTTGTCTTGTGCGGGCCGATGGTAACCCCAGTCCACCATCTCTCTTCTCTACTGCAGAGCACAGCTTCCTCCAGGAATTCCTTTCCAAAGATTCCTGTTTCCAGATTTCAGATAAGGTGAGGTGACACCGTGGGAGTAGAGGCCCCCCCCCCCAACACACACACACTCTCCTGTTCTTTCCTGTAACCTCTCCCCCTTTCTGGGTCTGCAGTATCTTCTGGCCATGGTGCTGGTCTACTTCCGGCGCGCCAACCTGAAGCTCCACGAGTACACCCACAGCAACTTGTTCCTGGCTCTGTGAGTGGCCAGGGCGGGCAGTGGAGACGCTAGCTGGGGGTTGTGGGATGCGGCGGGGGGGGGAGGTACAGGCTTATGGCCTCTGCTCGCTGCCCACCAGGTTTCTCGCCAATGACATGGAGGAGGATGTGGAGGACCCCAAATGTGTGATTTTTCTGTGGGCCCTGGGAAAAGACTGGCATCTCCGGGTGGCGGATTTCCTGCATCAAAGGGATAAGCTGTGGGCCCGGATGGGCTTCCGGGCCATGGTGAGCCGTGAGTGCTGTGAGGAGGTGAGGCCCCACCATCGTTCTGGGGTGGGGGGCACAAGGCTGGACCTCCCACCCCCTACTTACTATGTACTCTACTCACACCAGGTCATGGCCAAGGAGCCGTCCCACTGGGCTTGGACTCGAGAGCGGCACCCCCAGCACGGTGGGGCTCAGAGGGGTCCAAAGGCCCAGGTCCTTCTTCCTGGGCCCCCCAGCCCCTCGCCACCTCCCTGTTCCCTCCATGGCCAGCCCCCTTCCCACAGCCAGTGCTGCCACCAGCCCCACCCGGTGCCTGTCTTATCCAAGTGCCCTTCCCCAAACCCTGAGTGGCATTGCCCTCCCCTCCAAGCTTGTCTCTCAGTGGCTGAAAACCCCTTGGCGGGGGGCTTCCTCATCATCCCGCCCCCCCAACTACAGCTGGAGCCGGGCACCTACACTCTCCACAGTGAGTTGGGGACAGCAGCTGGGGCTGGGCTTGGGAGCCTAGGAGGCAGGTGTGGGGCCATGGGAAGAAGGGACATAGGACCTGGGGTCCAGCAGGCTTGGGCCCCTGTCCCAGCCCTGCCACCTCCTAGCTGTGTGCATGTGGTAAGTTTCTTCTCTGATGATCCTCTTCATCCTTTCTCCCCAGTCCTCCCGAAGCCTCCACCATGCCCTGGGTGCTGACACTTGCAGGGTGAAGAGTAGCCCACTTGCTTGCCCGCTGACCCAAGGCCCACTAGCTATGGGCCCCCCACCCCAGCCTTCTGTCCTATTGACGTCAGGCTGGCTGAGCTGCCCAGGCCCCCTGTCACCTCCTCCCAGATGTACCCACTCTGACCCTGGCCCCTCTAATAAACTCGTGTCCACAGGACACTGACTGTGCTTAGGCCCTGGCCTGGCTCCTTGACCCAGGGCAGGGGTGGGGAGGGAATGGGAGGAGAAGGGGGTCTGCCAACTTTAAGCGCCAGTGATGGAGACTCATGAGTACAGGCTCTGATAACAATTCCCTTTTCCAGTGACGACCAGTCACCCAACCTCACTTTCCCTTCTATAACATCACCTGTGCATGTTGTCTGTGAGGTTGAATGACAGAGATATTCTTTTTTTTATTATTTTTTATTTATTTATTTTTTTAAAGATTTTATTTATTTCTTTGACACAGAGAGAGAGATCACAAGTAGGCAGAGCAGCACAGAGAGAGCGAGGGGGAAGCAGGCTCCCCGCTGAGCAGAGAGCCCGATACGGGGCTCGATCCCAGGACCCTGGGACCATGACCCGAGCTGAAGGCAGAGGCTTAACCCACTGAGCCACCCAGGTGCCCCAGATATTCTTTTTTTTAAAGATTTTATTTGTCAGAGAGAGAGATAGAGCACAAGTCGGCAGAGTGGTAGGCAGAGGGAGAGGGAGAAGCAGGCTTCCCACTGAGTGAGGAGCCCCATGTGGGGTTCAATCCCAGGATCCTGGGATCATGACCTGAGCTGAAGGCAGACGTTTAAGTGACTGGGCCATCCAGGCGTGCCTGTTGTGAGGTTTGAGCACAGTAATCCTAGAAGTGTTTAGAAGTGTCTCAAGAATGGAGCTCGGAGGCAAGCCCTGGGTGTCACCAGTAGAGTGAATGGCTGAATGGGGCAAGTCTGGAGGGGAGGGTGTGTTTGGGGAGCTGCTGGTCTGAAGCTGGTGAAGTCCACCAGGGGGGACTTCAGCCAAGGGGATCTGCACACCATTTCCCTGCACACCGATGGCTCCCAGGAAGCATGGAAATGAGAAAGCTGGGAGATTGCAGAAATTAAAAGCTAAGACATGGGCTACAAAGTCCTTTTCATTGTTTTTCAGAGAGGTAATATATTCACGTGTACATTTTAAATTGTGAACTAAGAGTTACCTCCTATCCCCGGTTCCCCTTCCAGAGAAAGAGTATAAGCAGACCTAACCAAATGTGGTATGATAAAAAAAAAAAAGTATGGATTTGGTCTTTGTCCCCTGTCCCCGGTTCCTGGCCCAGAGTTACTAAAATCCTTACAATGTCCTGAGTCCCAGGAGTGAATTTTGTTACTTACCGTGAGCCCCTTTGAACCACACCTGAGTTCATGCTAATGAAGTGACTCCATGTGGGACCCCTCCTTACCCCAGAAAAACCAATCAGGAGCAGGAATTTTCAGCTTCCCCACCTCCTGCAGGGAGGAGAGGGGGTCAGGAAATCGGAGCAGTTCTGGATGGGTGGACACAGGTACTGGGACGGTGGGCTGCCTAGAGAGGGCACAGAAGTTCTGTGTCCTTCCCTGCCATCCCTTGTCCTAGGCACATCTTTTATTTGGCTGCTTCAGAGTTGTGTCTTTTAAAATAAAACTCCTAAGTAAAGTACTTTCCTGAGTTCTGTGAGTCTAATATCAAATGATCAAACCTGAGGAGGGGGTTGTGGGCACCCCAGGTTTGAAGATGGTTCCTTATCCATACGTTCCTTTTGACGGCTGTATAGTATTCTTCTTCATAGCCATACCAAAATGTAGTTTGTTCCTTATCCATTGACATTTAAGATGCTTCCAGAATTCTGCTATTCCAAGTAGTCCTACAGAGAGTCACCAAGACTTTGTAAGGACATCATTATTCAAATATGAAAAGATACCTGTAGTAGGAATTCCTAGAAGAATTGCCCCAAGGCCATGTCAAAATAGTCATTTTTACAATTTTTGCCAAATGTCCCTTTATAGAGGCCATGCACATACCGAGCCCCACCTCCAGCAGTACATATAAAGGCTGTTTTCCAGAACATTCACCCATCAGTGACATACCAGATTTTTTTTAAGGCTTTATTTATTTGACACAGAGATAGAGTACAAGGAGGCAGAGCAGCAGGCAGAGAGAGAGGGAGAAACAGGCTCTCTGCCCCACAGCAGAGAGCCTGATGTGGGGCTTGATCCCAGGACCCTGACATTATGACCTGAGCCAAAGGCGACTGCTTCACCGACTGATCCACCCAGGTGCCCTGACATACCAGATTTTTTTTTTATCTTTGCCAAACTGCTAAGTGAAAAATGGTCTCTTGGTGAAGTTATAATTTGCATTTCTCCTTAGTGAGTTAAAGTTCATACGATTAAGAGCTGTTTGTCTTCTCTGTGAACAACCCTATTCTTTGTCCGTTTCTCCCATTTTTTGTTTCTGATTGACGTACAAGGGTTTGCAGGAAAAATAGCTCTTCAAGAAGTCAGTTGTAAGGTTCTTGCTGACTTTGCTGGGCAGGTTTTTTAATGTAGTAAAATAAGGTGGGTTTTTTTTTTTTTTGTGGCTTCTGGATTTTGTGTCATAGTTAAAAAGACATTTTTCACACTGAGATGACTAAAGAATCTTTTTCCTTAGCTCTTTGCTACATTTTAAAAAAATATTTTATTTATTTATTTGACAGAGATTTCGAGTTGGGGGAGAGGCAGGCAGAGAGAGGGAGAGAGATAGAGAGAGAGAGAGGAGGAAGCAGGCTCCCTGCTGAGCAGAGAGCCCCATGAGGGGCTCCATCCCAGGACCCTGAGATCATGACCTGAGCTGAAGGCAGAGGCTTTAACCCACTGAGCCACTGAAGCACCCCTTGGCTACATTTTTATTTTTGTTTTTTACATTCAGATCTTGAGTTCATCTGGAATTTATCTAGAATTCATCTTGACTTCATCTGGAATTTATCATATGCAAAATTCCTTCCCATTTTCCTATTGCCTTTCATTTAAACTCATCTTTTCTCAACAGACTTGAAATGCTACTTTTATTAAAAACTAAATTCCCATGTGAATTTAGATCTACTAGATTTTCCTTTTTTTTTTTTTTAAGATTTTATTTATTTATTTATTTGACAGAGATTACAAGTAGGCAGAGAGGCAGACAGAGAGAGAGGAGGAAGCAGGCCTGATGCGGGGCTCGATCCCAGGACCCTGGGATCATGACCTGAGCCGAAGGCAGAGGCTTTAACCCACTGAGCCACTCAGGCGCCCCTAGATTTTTTTTTCCTTTTTCTTTTAAAGATGGCTCCACTCCCAGTGTGGAGCCCAACGTGGGGCTTTAATTCACAACCCTGAGATCAAGACACGAGCTGAGATCAAGAGTTGGGTGCTTAAGTGCCTGAGCCACCCAGGTGTCCCCTACTCCTAGATTTTTCTAACTTCCAATGATCTACATGTGTCAGTACCCTTCTTTAATTATTACATCTAATTATTATGAATTTGTTGTGCTTTAGTATCTGGTAGGGTTAGTCTCAATTGATTTCCCTTTGTTTTCAGAAGTTTCCTGGCTATTCTTTTTTTTTTTTTTTAAGATTTTATTTATTTATTTGACAGACAGACATCACAAGTAGGCAGAGAGAGATTGATAGAGAGAGAGAGGAGGAAGCGGGCTCTCTGCTGCGGGGCTTGATCCCAGGACTCTGGGATCATGACCCGAGCCAAAGGCAGAGGCTTTAACCCACTGAGCCACCCAGGCGCCCCCTGGCTATTCTTCTTTGTTTAACTTTCCATATGGACCTTAAGTCAGCTTTTCTAGCCACCCCCATCAGTTAGATTATAAATTGTGATATTTATATAGATTACTTTATGGAGAACTGACATCTTTATGAAGTCTCTTGGTATCCAGAATAGAGTGTCTGTCCCCTGACCTCTTCTTTCAGGTGGCACTAGTGGCTAATGACTTCCAAATTTGTACCTTTATTCTGAGAGCTGTTCCCTCTTTGGGCTTCTCTGCTTGGAGGAGGTGTTCCCCAAAGTCTTGCACTGTCGTCCCCAGCTTGACGAGCCACCCCCCCTCCTTTAATTTATTCAGGTGGTCAAGCCAGGTCAAGGGTTTGGAGTTGTCTTTGATTCCCTACTGTGTTCCAAGAGCCATGTCTAACCCTAAGTCCTATTCGTG